GTCCAGTCGATCCCTGACTTTGTAATCTGCTAATAAACGACAATTGTTGGCATCAAGTTCCCTGTCCGAGTGAAAACGTTTATGTATTGATTGTATTTATAGAACGAGTTACATGAAACGTTTATCTATTGGTTATATTTCTAGAACGAGTTACATGAAACGTTTATCTATTGGTTATATTTCTAGAACGAGTTACATGAAACGTTTATCTATTGGTTATATTTCTAGAACAAGTTACATGAAACGTTTATCTATTGGTTATATTTCTAGAACGAGTTACATGAAACGTTTATCTATTGGTTATATTTCTAGAACGAGTTACATGAAACGTTTATCTATTGGTTATATTTCTAGAACGAGTTACATGAAACGTTTATCTATTGGTTATATTTCTAGAACAAGTTACATGAAACGTTTATCTATTGGTTATATTTTTAGAACAAGTTACATGAAACGTTTATCTATTGGTTATATTTTTAGAACAAGTTACATGAAACGTTTATCTATTGGTTATATTTCTATTTCTAACTCTATTTATTCAATTATGTACCAGCTGCCCAGTGTCGGCTAACAATACGAAGAATTAAAATGTGGCGGAATGCTACAAGTTCTTCAAATACCTATAGAGTGATAGGTTTATTTTTTGTGAGTGTAAAACACTTAAATACACCAGTTCGATGTTCGATACCTCACTACTACAAAGGCTTGGTTTGGTTTGATACTTCGTTGGTGGTAGTGTCCAGGGTCACTGATGAGGAGTGGAATTCTCCCAAACTAGTCTGGCTCACAGACACACAACCCCAATAAAATAATAGACCATTCCAAGCGTTTACTGGTTGTTAAACAAATGTTTAAACACCTTTATTTATTCAATTTCTAGAACGAATTATATAAAACGTATATCTATTGGTTGTATCTTTAGAACGAGTTATGTGAAACGTTCATCTATTGGTTGTATCTTTAGAACGAGTTATGTGAAACGTTCATCTATTGGCTGTATCTTTAGAACGAGTTATATGAAACGTTTATCTATTGGTTGTATCTTTAGGACGAGTTATGTGAAACGTTCATCTATTGGTTGTATCTTTAGAACGCGTTATGTGAAACGTTCATCTACTAGTTTTACTTTTACAATGAATTGCGTGAAGCGTTTTGATGAAACCAACTAAACATTATCAATTATACGAGTAGTGGTTTCGTACGGTGTTTCTCAAACCTCCAAATTCATTTGGAGGTGAGTATCCGGGAGTAGGACTAGCGTCCTAGTCCGAACACCAGGTGAGCATGTTTCGGTGAGACGGGGATTCGAACCCGCAGATTGCGAGTCGAGGGACCTAACCACGTGGCCATGCAGGGCCAATTATAAGAGTAAAGTACGATAACGGTGTAATTGTGTTTTATAAGATAATTATCTAAAACATAAAAAAATTATTTTCGTATGATATATAATAATGAGCTGTCCACCACGGCTAAACCACTGATGGGTTATGTAACACAATGCAAACTGTGTTTACCAACACGTATCTCTTGTATTTCCAGTTTTTCTTCTTTTCTTTATAATCAAAGAATAAGAAAAACATTATCTGTTGAAATCAAAACTGATTCATTGATCAAGAATTGTGTTACCGTTTCGTCGAGTTTCGGTGATCGTGTAAACAACGTTGCTCCTACATGCTCAGCACTTTGAAGAAAACGTGTATCAGACCTAGAGAAATCAATCACCACGGTTCGATCTTTGAGCTAATGCATCTTTCGTGTTCTCTATTTACCAGATCAACTAACAACTACGCTTAAATTAGCAACATCGGCACAGCATTCTATCCAACGCTAACAAACAACTTTGCTTCATAACACCATCAGCACAGCGTCCTATCCAACGCTAACAAACAACTTTACTTCATAACACCATCAACACAGCATTCTATCCACGCTAACAAACAACTTTACTTCATAACACCATCAGCACAGCATTCTATCCAACGCTAACAAACAGCTTTGCTTCATAACACCATCAGCACAGCGTCCTATCCAACGCTAACAAACAACTTTACTTCATAACACCATCAGCACAGCATTCTATCCAACGCTAACAAACAGCTTTACTTCATACCACCATCAGCACAGCGTTCTATACAACGTTAACAAACAACTTTGCTTCATAACACCATCGGCATAGCGTTCTATCCAACGCTAACAAACAACTTTACTTCATAACACCATCAGCACAGCATTCTATCCAACGCTAACAAACAACTTTGCTTCATAACACCATCGGCACAGCGTTCTATCCAACGCTAACAAACAACTTTACTTCATAACACCATCAGCACAGCATCCTATCCAACGCTAACAAACAACTTTACTTCATAACACTCCAACATATATATATATATATATATGTGTATTTATTTTCAGAAGTATGAAACTGAAAGACGTACTCCAGCCACAGTTTTTCACATACAGCACCACTAATGCTAGTATAAGTAAACAATATCTTCCAAGTTTTTTTCTGAGGATACTATGCTTATTAACGAAGTCACTAGAATAAATCTGGGACCCGTTACGCTTTCCCTCTATGTTTGCTTTCATCGACAAGGCTTCTGTCACCCGTTTGCATGATATTGTTTTCGTAATGATATATATGGTCATGTAAATGTAAATATATAACTGGTAACTATTTCTCTAGAGGAATGTGACTTGTCTGATAGGTACGTTGCCGATTAAATGAATAAAGGAAGTCTAAAACTCGTCTTTTCTTGAGCATGTTCACAAACCAGAAACCAAATTATTAATGAATCAGTAAAAATGTACATAACGGAGTTAAATTGTAACAATACAGAGTATGAATATAATACGTGCAGAACAGTTCACAGTGTGAATAGAAGTTGTACATAACGGGGTTAAATTGTAATAGTAAAAAGTGTGAATATAAGCCGTATATAACGGGGTTAGAATATGACAGTAACAAAGTGTCATTAAGCAGAACGGAATTAAAATGTGACAGAAATAAAGTGTGAATATAAACCGAACGGAGTTAAAATGTGACAGCAACAAAGTGTGAATATAAGCAGAACGGAGTTAAAATGTAACAGCAACAAAGTGTGAATATAAACAGAACGGTGTTAAAATGTGACAATAACAAAGTATGAATATAACCAGAACGGTGTTAAAATGTGACAGTAACAAACTGTGAATATTGGCAGCACGGAGTTAAAATGTGACAGCAACAAAGTGTGAATATAAACAGAATGGTGTTAAAATGTGACAGCAACAAAGTGTGAATATAAACAGAACGGTGTTAAAATGTACCGCTGTTCCACCGGTCAGGTTTTATAGTATGTATTTATGCATTCAACCAAAACACTGAATGTGAGGTTACTTCACATTTGCTGTACCGAAAAGAAAGAACCCAATTTTAGTTACCGTTAGAAGATTCGATGAATGGACACTAGACATGTACATAATTATATTTGTTAGTATTTACGAGAGGGAAAACGTTAAGTGATTGAATTTTGTTTTTCTACGTCGTTGTTGTTTGCAAGAGCATATTATTGATATTTTTACTTGAACAGCAACCTGTGCATGAGCTAAAATCCAGACCATGAAATGACTCTTAGAGTTCAGGTATAGACGTCTAAATTTTGAGCTTCTAATAGAAGCACCCGTCACAGCTGTCGGGTTTTGAACCGAATAAAGGGATCGACCAACTACGTTAAAACATACCTACAGCTGAAAGTGCAGAGCGTTTTCTGCGCCATTGTGACTCGAACCTTGGACTTTCTAGCCCTTTGCTAGGTACGCTAACCACAAGGCCCCAGCAAGATAGTAGAACTAAGAACTAAAAGCAATAAGAAAGTGTGAAATTACTGCAGACTCAAGTATTAATGTGTGTTTTCTTATATGCTGTGTCCATCGAGGAGAATCGAACCCCTGATTTTAGCAATATAAATCCGAAGATTTACCGCTGTCACACCTAAAGTATTAAAAAGGATGTTAATATTAAAAGTACGAAAGCACGTAATACCATTAACAACGCCATAAAGCTTGAAATTCATCGAAACAACATACACTTATGTACTTTAACTAAATTTGTCTGTAAGTGAGTGATACTCATATCTGTGGATTAGTAAATAAAAAGTCTTTGGAATTATAAACCGTTGTTGCAAAGCTTATTGTAACCCTTTAAATATCACGTGAACACCCACGTGTGACAATTAATTGAAGTTTCTCACGTGCTACATTGTTGCTTTAAATCTAACAACTACTATACATCCGAGTTAACGAGTCACGCTATTGATCATATTATGGTCATTTTTTCTAGCAGTCTTTAAGTCGTGGCGAGATTGTATAATATATCAAAGTTAGTGTGTACTTTAATATTGATCACCCCACGGCTCTGGCTAGTGGGTATATCATACTACTTATTTCCATATCATCAATTCAACAGGATATTATAATCTGTCACATCTCGCCAAATCTCGTTAAACATGGGAGTTTCATTTTGAACCTTACATAACTGCATTATTTGTTATCCATAAACGTATATTTGCATTTGACACTTAGGATATGCATGCTTTACACTGGCAATGTAAAAAAAAACGTTAATGTGATACAACGTTAGGTTTAGTGATCCACTATCGCTCTGTATATAAACTAGAAGATTATGATTGGTTGAATTACGCAGAACGTTGAAACAGTAACCTATCATTATCGACAACCAAGGGTGTCTTCCTTGTTCTCTTTAAACAAGATTAATGACGTAAATACATACCACTTTAGAAGACACATTAACAAAATTATAAAATAATGCATCGCTTAAGATCGCGTAATAGCGGCTTAAATTAGCGTATATGTTCTAAATCGCTGAATTAGATCATATAGCGTGTTGGTTCTTTTAACAAAACCGATAAAAAAAAAAGGGCGTTCAACATTTCGCCCGCTAACTAAGCACATCTGTAATTATCAACATTAGTCTTTAATACACATAGAAATGTGCTTACCTTCGACATCTTCAAGTGTAGAAAGTGTGTAGACATTTCTTGTCCACGACTCACTTCTTCCTTTTGCGTTGACTGCATAAACTATAATTTGAAGCCTTGTATTTTGCGGAAGTCTCTCTATTACAAAGTCAGGTTTCTTGGCAGTCATATTCGTGTGTATTCTGTCTAGGTTATTTTCATGTAATTCTACAACAAAGTGTTGACTTAAGCCACCATTATAACCCTCAAGGCAGCCAATGTCCACCGAGGAAGTTGTGATGTTTCGTACTGTACAGTTAACTGGCATTGCTGGAGGTCCTGTAGGAGGTTCAGTACAATATTATCTATATCTCTAAGTTAACTATCGTCATAGATAAACCATCGACAAAATTGTTGTTGTTTTTTTATCAATACGAGGATCCCTGAATATGATCTCAATGGTTCCAGAAATGTGCTATTTTTGTAATAGATTAATATTTTTTATTTCGACTAAATATATAAGCCGAAATTTGACTGAACTTTGCCTAAATAACATAACTATTATATAGAAGAACCTCGGTTGTCATTCTTGGGAAACACCTGTCAAGTCAGCAAAGAGATCATTAGTGTTAACTGATGAACAATCGCTTGTAGCTACTAATTATAGAATGACTGTGATAAGGTGGATGGATATCAATCTGCTTTAAAAAACTACTTCGGCAAAATTGTTTTTAATTTCGTGCAAAGCTACACGAGGGATATCTGCGCTAGCCGTCCCTAATTTAGTAGTGATAGACTAGTGGGAAGGCAGCTGGTCAACATCACCCACCGCCAACTCTTGGGCTACTCTTTTACTAACAAGTAGTGGGATTGACCGTCACATTATAACACCCCACGACTGAAAGGGCGAGTATGTTAGAGAAAAATGGCACCGCTCCCTCTTTCCCACCCCCAAAAGATAATCATTTATTACTTACTTTGCGTTTACAGTGTAGCAATTTTTGTTAGGCCTATTATTACCGGCGCCATTTTTGTTAGGCCTATTATAACCTGTGTGATTTTATCAATATTATTATTCACTTGCTTATTGCTAAGCGAAAGATACACTATGCACTAACTATAACGCGCCCATTGCGAGTATCGAACCTCGAATTTTAGCGTAAAGCACCCCAGACTTTTCCCCTGAGCTACCGGGAAGGAGAGCAGAGCTGTTATTACCAGTGTCATCTTCAATGTTCATTTCTTCCCATTTTGCCTTATTACTGACGTCATTTTTATCATTACTATCTTCACAGGAGCCAGTGTGATTAGTGTTGTTATTATCGCTACCATTTTCAGTGTGTCATTTTTTCCCAATTCGCATAATTAATGGCGCCATTTTTATCGGTATTATTATTACTAACATAGTGGATACCGGGCATGCAATGCAGAGTCTAGAATGAATGTTTCAATTCTGACTATTCTTAAAAACGTGAAGACACTGATACGATAAAATATGACGATGTTAATAACATTATAAATTATCAATAATGTATTTTTACATAGAAATTAACTATTTTGTGTTACCTCTTCATTACGTAACTAAATATTTATATTCTTCTTTGTCATGTATAATTCTTTATAAACTCAAGTATATTGTGTTCATATCTACGCTACTGAGTACACGATACGTGATTATTGTTTCTTCGAATGAAGTTTTGGTACCACTGACTCATTCTAGCTACAACAGAATCTTGGTACCACTGACTCATTCTAGCTTCAACATGATCTTGGTACCACTGACTCATTCTAGCCTCAACAGAATCTTGGTACCACTGACTCATTCTAGCTTCAACATGATCTTGGTACCACTGACTCATTCTTGCCTCAACATCATTTTGGTACTGCTGATTTATTCTAGCGTCAACAGACGTATTTTAGTAGAAATGGCTTACTCTATGTTCAACAGAAATATTTTAGTAGAAATGGCTTACTCTAGCTATTTTAGTAGAAACTTCTGTTGAAGCTAGAGTAAGCCATTTCTACTAAAATACTTCTGTTGAAGCTAGAGTAAGCCATTTCTACTAAAATACTTCTGTTGAAGCTAGAGTAAGCTA